AAATATTGAAAGTATTTGCTAGTCTCGAGTTCCCGAATCTTGTCACTCGATCCATATCCGATCCTACAAGCATGCACATGGATTTAATGTAGACTTGTAATATGTAAGGCTAGTACGCGCTCGCTCGCTAGCTCTGCAGTAGCTAATAATATCGGTGGTAGATATGTACAATCGTATATATATTATATATACATATTATTTAAGTCGTACGTACTGCACGCCTAAAACGGTACTCGCGCATGCGCAATATTTCCCGAGAAGGATAATATTTTGCAAAGATTACGAATTTAAAATGAAGAGGGATTATCCTAGCAGAGATTTATATGATAAATTGTTATAAGTAGACCTCACTTCAGAAATAGGAAGCAGACCTTGCATGAACGGTTCCCACTGCATATACCAGTCTGCATATACTGCTTTAGTGCATGCGCTATATCTCACCAGAGGAGTTATATTTTGTGATGAAAACGCATTTAGTATGGTCAGGAGATATCTCAACATGTCTTCCCTGCCACCTTCCCTCAGTTTGCCACCCCCTCTTCCTCAGCAAGCTATATTTACGTACTTTTCCTTTGGCCGTACTACACGTCAGAAACGCAGGCGTCAGATAATCACAATCAAGTGTGGCTTTAGGCTGCCTCGTCCAACGCCGGTGGTCTCCAGCCCCTGTCAGCCCACTCCGACAATAACCTTTCAGCGGCCAAAAATAGTTTTTTTTGTTTACGTATCTAGTAATGCTAAACCAAGTTACCATGGTATATGCCGATTGTATTACTCATAGGCATAGATATAGCATTGAATGGGGGAAAAACAAGACAAGCGCCAGTGCAGCACTCGGTAAGTTATTAGTAGCACGTTATAGTGTTGCCGTTGTTATATTTGTATGACGGGGGCCTAAGGCCATCTATATAGAATTGTAATAATAGTGTATGATGGGGGCCCAATGCCACATATATAGTATTTGTATGACGGGAGCTTAAGGCCACCTATATTGAATTGTAATAATAGTGTATTCTTGGGGACCCAAGTACACATATATAGTATTTGTTTGACGAAGGCCTAAGACCACCTATATAGTATTGTAATAATAGAATAGTGTATGATGGGGGCCAAAGGCCACATATATAGTATTTGTATGACGGGGGTCTAAGACCACCTATATAGAATTGTAATAACAGAATAGTGTATGGGGGCCCAAGGCCACATTTATAGTATTTGTATGACGGGGGCCTAATGCCACCTATATAGAATTGTAATAATATTATATGATGGGGCCCAAGGCCACATATATAGAATTTGTATGACGAGTGCCTAAGGCCACCTATATAGAATTGTAATAATAGTGTAAGATGGGGGCCCAAAGCCACATATATAGTATTTGTGTGACGGGGGCCGAAGGCCACCTATATAGTATTGTAATAATAGAATCGTGTATGGGGGCCCAGGGCCACATAAATAATATTGTATATGACGGAGGCCTAAAGCCACCTATATAAAATTGTAATAATAGTGTATGATGGGGGCCCAAGGCCACATATATAGTATTTGTATGGCGGGCGCCTAAGGCAATCTATATAGTATTGTAATAATAGAATAGTTTATGATGGGGGCCCAAGGCCACATATATAGTATTATATATGACGGTGGCCTAATGCCATCTATATAGTATTGTAGTATAGTGTATGCTGGCGGCCCACCAACACCACATATATAGTATTGTGTATGACAGTGGCCTAATGCCATCTATATAGTATTGTAGTATAGTGTATGCTGGCGGCCCACCAAGGCCACATATATAGTATTGTGTATAAAGGGGACCTAAGGCCTCCTATATAGTAGTGTGTGGTACACCTTGGTTGTAAGCTATACCGCCTCCAGCAAAGAAAGGTAGGATGCATCACTAGCACGGTGTATTATTGCGCCAGCGGGGCCCTAGGCCCCCGATGGCTTAAGGCCACACTTGAATGTGGATATCTGTCGCCTGCATACGCAGCGGGGACATTACATGCAAGGTCTTCCTCCTATTTATTAAATCATGTCCACTGATGGAATGTTATCATATAAATCTATGCTAGGATAACTCCTCTTTCTTTTAAATGCATAATATTTGCAAAATACGATTTCTCTCGGGAGATATTGCGCATGCGCGCGCACCGTGTTAGCAGTGCAGTGCCGTCTGAGGCAAACATTATAATATAGCTTGCTGAGAGAGAGAGAGGATGAGAGACTGAGGAAAGGCGGCAGGGAAGATAGCTGGGGCGGTAGCAGAACATGAAGGCTGAGCGAGGGACAGGGCATGCAAGGGGAAGGAAGTGAGGGCATAAAGTAGGTTTTTGTACACTACATCCTAGGGCGCTCTCCTAATTATAAACACAGGTCTACTAATAAAAGGTTATTAGGGAAATCTATGCTGAGATACCCTCTAACCAATTTAAATGGATATTCATCACAAAATATAACTCCTCTCGTGAGATATTGCGCATGGGCTATTACACACTAACGTAGCCAGATTGTGTACTGGCTGGTATACGCAGCCGTGCCCTTACATGCAAGGTCTTCCTCCTATTTCTTAAATGATGTCTACTGGTGAAATGTTATTATATAAATCTATGCTAGGATAACTCCTCTTCATTTTAAATGCATAATCTTTGCAAAATACGAGTTCTCTCGGGAGATATTGCGCATGCGCTCGCACCGTGTTAGGCGTGCAGTGTTGTCTGAGGCAAACATTATAATATAGCTTGCTGAGGGAGAGAGGGGGTGGGAGACTGAGGAAAGGCGGCAGGGAATATATGTGGGGGCGGTAGAAGAAGAAGGAGGCTGAGCGAGGGACAGGGAAAGCAAGGGAAAGGACGCGAGGGCATAAAGTAGGTGTTTTGTACCCTACATCCTAGGGTGCTCTCCTAATTATAAACACAGGTCTACTGATAAATGTTTATTAGTGAGATCTATGCTGAGATACCCACTAACCATTTTAAATGCATATTCATAACAAAATATAACTCCTCTGGTGAAATATTGCGCATGCGGTAACACACTAACGTAGCCAGATTGTGTACTGGCTGGTATACGCAGCGGGGACCTTACATGCAAGGTCTTCCTCCTATTTATTAAATGATGTCTACTGATAAAATGTTATTATATAAATCTTTGGTGGGAGAACTCCTCTTCATTTTAAATGCATAATCTTTGCAAAATACGAGTTCTCTCGGGAGATATTGCGCATGCGCGCGCACCGTGTTAGGCGTGCAGTGTTGTCTGAGACAAACATTATAATATAGCTTGCTGAAGGAGAGAGGGGGTGGGAGACTGAGGAAAGGCGGCAGGGAATATATGTGGGGGCAGTAGAAGAAGAAGGAGGCTGAGCGAGGGACAGGGGAAGCAAGGGAAAGGACGCGAGGGCATAAAGTAGGTGTTTTGTACCCTACATCCTAGGGCGCTCTCCTAATTATAAACACAGGTTTACTGATCAATGCTTATTAATGAAATCTATGCTGATATACCCCCTAACCATTTTAAATGCATATTCATCACGAAATATAACTCCTCCAATATCTGGTGAGATATTGCGCATGCGCTAACACACTAACGTAGCCAGATTGTGTACTGGCTGGTATACGCAGCGGGGACCTTACATGCAAGGTCTTCTCCTATTTCTTAAATGATGTCTACTGATGGAATGTTATCATATAAATCTATGCTAGGATAACTCCTCTTCCTTTTAAATGCAGAATCTTTGCAAAATACGATTTCTCTCGGGAGATATTGCGCATGCGCGCGCCGTATTAGGCGTGCAGTGCCGTCTGAGGCAAACTTCATAATATAGCTTGCTGAGAGGGAGAAGGGATGGGAGAATGAGGAAAGGCGGCAGGAAAGATATCTGGGAGCGGTAGAAGAAGAAGGAGGCTGAGCGAGGAACAGGAGAGACAAGGGGAAGGACGCGAGGGCATAAAGTAGGTGTTTTGTGCCCTACATCCTGGGGCGCTCTCCTAATTATAAACACAGGTCTACTAATAATTGTTTATTGAGGAAATCTATGCTGAGATACCCCTTAACCATTTTAAATGCATATTCATCACAAAATATAATTACTCCGGTGAGATATTGCGCATGCGCTGACACACTAACGTAGCCAGATTATTAACGTACTAACGTACGTACTAACGTAGCCACTAACGTAGCCAGATTGTGCACTGGCTGGTATACGCAGCAGGAACCTTACATGCAAGGTCTCCCGCTTATTTCTTAAATGATGTCTACTGATGGAATGTTATCATATAAATATTTGGTAGGATAACTCCTCTTCATTTTAAATGCATAATCTTTGCGAAATACGATTTCTCTCGGGAGATATTGCGTATGCGCGCGCACCATGTTAGGCGTGCAGTGTCGTCTAAGGCAAACATTAAAATATAGCTTGCTGAGGGAGAGAGGGAATGAGAGACTAAGGAAAGGCGGCAGGGAAGATATCTGGGGCGGTAGAAGAAGAAGGAGGCTGAGCGAAGGACAGGAGAAGCAAGGAGAAGGACACGAGGGCATAAAGTAGGTGTTTTGTACCCTACATCCTAGGGCGCTCTCCTAATTATAAACATAGGTGTACTGATAATTGTTTATTAGGGAAATCTATGCTGAGATACCCTCGAACCATTTTAAATGCATATTCACCACAAAATATAACTCTTCCGGTGAGATATTGCGTATGCGCTGACACATTAACGTAGCCAGATTGTCTACTGGCTGGTATACGCAGCGGGGACCTTACATGCAAGGTCTTTCTCCTATTTCTTAAATGATATCTACTGATGGAATGTTATCATATAAATCTTTAGTAGGATAACTCCTCTTCATTTTAAATGCATAATTCTTGCAAAATACGATATCTCTCGTGAGATATAGCGTTTGCACGCGCACCGTGTTAGGCGTGCAGTGTGGTCTGAGGCAAACATTAAAATATAGTTTGCTGAGGGAGAGAGGGGATGAGAGACTGAGAAAAGGCGGCAGGGAAGATAGCTGGGGGCGGTAGATGAAGAGGGAAGCTGAGTGAGGGACAGGGGAAGCAAGGGGACATTATAGGGACGATGGAAAGAATGGCCAGCAATAATTATTAAATCGATGCATTATAGAATTGTCATTTTAATAGTCAACTGTTTGTGAATCTGCGCACTCAATTAATCGTCTAATTTCAACAAGATAATTTGGCATCATGCACTACTTTTCATGCGCGACATCAGCGCCGACCTACGGCACAGAAATGTATAAACACTTGTATTCGACTTTGCGAGGAAATTGCGATGCTGGGCACCTTAACATTAGCAATGTGAGGCAGTTGAATCTGTCTTTCTCTGTCTTTTCTCCTTGTTTTGAACGAATAATTTCACCAAAAATATTGGTAATTTTAACAGATATTACGCGTACGTGCACAGAGACCAATTGCTATAATCTACGGCACGTTAGAAGATTGGCCATATATGGAGAAAGGTAGATAGATAGATAAATAGATAGATAGATAGATATGTGTGTGTGTGTGTGTGTGTGTGTGTGTGTGTGTGTGTGTGTGTGTGTGTGTGTGTGTGCATGTGTGTGCGCGTGTGCGTGTGCGTATGTATGTATGTATGTATGTATGTACGTATGTATGTATGTATGTATGTATGCATGTATGTATGTATGTTTAAATATTAAAATAAAACTTGAACGTAAGATTTAAATAAAAGTTATTTTATACATTATATTGTTACGTAGGTAAATTTAATAGCTTAATTTATGTAATATTCCCCGTAATCATGGTTACAATATTCATCGTCACATGCAAATATAGAATAATATCGATGTTTCTCAATATCAAGATGTTATATATAATATATACACTAACATAGGGGTATTCATTGTATTATTTACCTCACAGTATACTGTTAATAAAACCTCACTCCAATCGGCGGTACTTTCTGGTATACATCTCACGCTCGTAAGAGGACTGTTGTCAGAGTGACAACAAAGTTATGGAAACTCCCGTGATTGTGATAAATGTTGCAGTAGTCACTATACAGTTTTAATTCTTTCTGACGATCGTTTACGCTAAAAGTTTAGAACTAGGGCTGATCTTGCCATTTGTCATCGTTCTGACATCCACTTCCATGATGATTATACGTGATTACATTATTATGCGCGTGAACAAGTGCATACCTGCCAGTGGCGGCAGTGTGATCTAAATTTCTGGTCGCTGTTTGGAGTGTGGGCGCGCGTCTAAGTGAAAAGGTTTATCACAGACACTCTGTATTCGCCCAGTAATTGAATCACTATCAGCCACACCATCGCTATCACGCTAGTTTATACGAATTCTAAGGTTCTGCATTAACTTTCATAAATACACCATCGTTGGACGTATACATTGGCAGCATAGTGGAGACGGCAATGTCAATTTACTATTAAAGCTTGATAGCGTGTTATTGATATAATACTAAAGCCTTATTATTCGTATTCACGGAGTTATGCGGGAGGAAATCGTTCGCTAATTGAATGCATATGCCATCATAGACATACATTCGCGAGCGAACCCATGCTGGTGAGAATACGCGCTTACCCGTCACCGCATCTTGGCCTAAGCAACTTTAATTTGTAGAAACGTGATGTATCGCATGTAACCGAATCGGTTTTGATTTATCATGACAGGATAAATATCGACGAAACCAGCACACAAGCGTGTGGTAAATAACACTGCGATACGTCGTCAGTTAGTGCGCATTCTGCCATATCTATTATTTATAAGTATATGCTTTGCGTTTCGATTTCACGAGAGGCATCAACATTACATCGCGACGTAAGATCATAATTGTACGAACATAACCCTCTCGCTGGGTTGTAAACGTGCATACTCCCGTAACGCGGATATATCTGTTTACGTCACATCCTTGTACATACAGACGCGTCGATGTTACGAATCAATTTCTGAACATTCGAAGTCACTACGTCCCACCAGACCCTTGTACACGCGAGGGCATTACGTCACCACCATAGCCTTGTACGCATGAGGGGGACTACGTCACTTCCACATCTTTGTACACGTCAGGAGGACTACGTCACTTCCACAGCCTTGTACGCATGAGGGGGACTACGTCACTTCCACAGCCTTGTACACGTGAGGGGGACTACGTCACTTTCATAGCCTTGTACGCATGAGGGGGACTACGTCACTTCCACAGCCTTGTACACACGAGGCGACTATGTCGCCGCCATAACCTTGTACACGTGAAATGACTACGTCACCACCACAGCGTTATACACAAAAGGGAGACTACGTCACCACCACAGCCTTGGTCGCACGTGGGAACTACGTCACTACAACACCCTTGTACACACAGGGACCTCTTTCGTTTTCTATCAATGACGGCCATAGATACGTCAGGATTCGATCCGAGTATTGGTCGGAGGTATGATGCCTGAAAACAAAAGGACATATATAAGTACGTGGTCCAACGTGAAACGCGACCATTATATTGTTAGTATGACACAAACACCGTGCCACAAAGCGAATGTGTGTGTGTGTGTGTGTGTGTGTGTGTGCGTGCGTGCGTGT